CGAAGGCACGCTGAGTGCCCCGCGTCGCCTCGATCGGCGCCCCGCCACCCCTCTGCTGCTTCCTCCCGCTCGAGCCTCTGGCTCGACCTCGCTCGCCCTTCGCCCTTCCTCCAGCCTTCTCCCGCTCGCTTGGATGCACTGGCCCAGCATGTCAGCGCACGGACCGCTACCCTACCTACTTCGCCGCCCGGACGCTTGGCCTCAGAGCGGCTCGGCAGAGCGCACGAGCCTCTTCTGGCCGCATACACACGGCACATCGAGGACGCATGGCGGGCTCTGGCTTCTTGGCTCTCAACATTCAGCGCCGCTGCTTCTGCTGCTTCTGCCTTCGATCCTTTGACCGGCTTCACTCAATCCTGCACAAAAACTGACTGCTAGGCGTCCAATGCAAGCTCAATAGTCGACGACGCACTAAGGAGTGGATGGGTCGCCGAGGGCAGCTTCGATCATGGTCGTCCGTCCTGGTAAGTTTGACCATGAAGTCCGGCATGCTGTACGCGATGCTGACGCTGCTGAATACCTTCGTCCGAGGCCGGGGTCAGTGGACAAGCGCTCGGCTGTTGGTCTCGCCGCATCCACTGCACACTCGTGCTCGTCCACGGGAATAAGGGGCGGGGAAGCTGGTGCAGCTCTTACTTCAGTTCCACATCACCTTGGCACTTTGAGCGCATTTACGCACCTCGAAATCGCACGTTTCTCTTCGGTTCACATCGGTGATTCACAGCGTCGATCAGATCAGCAGCATACATGCTACTTCGGTCGACTGAGCAGCGAGGTCAGCAGCGGAGAAGCGGATGCGCGAATGAATGCGTGACGGAAAAGGAAGGTCGGAAGCGGGAATAAGCGCAAGCCTGAATAAAGAAACAGACAGCGCGTCCAGCAAAGGCGGACTTGGAGCGGGACTAGCGGGGCTTGGTGGATGCAGGAGAACGCAGCGGAGTTAGACAGCAAGCGAGCGCGAGTAGTCTCAAGCAATAGTAAGTCAGACCGCGCGTCAATGCATCGGAACAATCGGTCTTGTGGGTGGTGCGGGAGTCGGAGGAGGTTGCTGAGCAAAGGGGCCAGCCGACGAGTGGATGACTGACACCAGGCCTGGTAGGGATAGCTCAGTCTAGCAGGAAGGGTCATGGGATGCATTCGCAGCTTATGAGTGCGGCAGACCATGCTGCCGCTAGCCAAGCATCAGGCAACCTGCCCGTAGCAGTCATGTCGGGAAGAGCTGAGACCTGCAGCGCGCTGCACTTCTCCGCAGATTCTCAGAGTCAGCGCTGTCGAGCGATTCGCTAGCCTTGCATACATTCCATGCACCGTAAGCAGTCGTCTTTCTCCGCATGATGGGCCGCAAAGCTATCATCCGCTGCTGGGAAA